GCACCTGACGTTGTTAGTGTAGCGCACACACGCTGTCACGTCACGACGTCGATGTCTATCGATTGCAAACCTGTGAGGACGCTGCCATGCACGTAAAGCTTCACATTTCCGGCTGACGGTGGCAGCACGATTCGTCGGCTGCAAGAGTGGATGGATGCATGTACGGCGTAGCGTCCACAGCGAGAGGTGAAAGTAGGGTCCCTATATACAGATATATCTATATAAAGGGACTCTAGGTGAAAGTATACGAGCCAGACGCGGCGTGAAGCCGCGCGGCGTCTGCCGAGTCATGACCAAAACAGACCGTTTTCTATCGATATCACTCATTCACGGCCGTGTGCGCAATCGTTTGCGCGCGAGTGCGCTGCAGAGTAATTTATTTTGCTCGCGGATAATACAAAAGACAAAATACAATAACTGGTAATTGCATACAGCTAGGAGAGAGGCTGCATTTGATTGCTTTCGCATACGGTGGTAAGTCAGGGGGCGACTATGGCACGCATGGCCGATCCATAAATAAGTCACCAAAGCATGGTTTGTTTTCGGACTCTCTCTCTCGCCCATAGTATACCCGCGCACAAACATAAATGCACTAGCGCAAAAGCGCACACACATGTAAGCACACGCAAGCACAGACAAACACCCCGCCCCCCTCCCCACACACACAAACACAAACACACACACACACGCGCGCGCGCGATGTGATGATACTGAGATAGATAGATAGATAGATCGATAGATACATAGATACATACATAGATACATACATAGATACATAGATACGTACGTACGTACATAGATACGTACGTACGTACATAGATACATATGTACGTACATAAATACATACGTACTTACATAGATACATACGTACGTACATAGATACATACGTACTTACATAGATACATGCGTACGTACATAGATACATACGTACGTACATAGATACATATGTACGTACATAGATACATACGTACGTACATAGATACATACATACGTACGTACATATACGTACATACGAGCATACATACATACGTACATACGTACAAACGTACATACGTACATACATAAATACGTACATACGTACATAGATACATAGATACATAGGTAGATAAACCAGACAGGCGCGCACACATGCACAACAGACACATACACGCACGCACGAACACACACGGGCAGTCTCCCTCTAAATCTATGGTTTCCGCACAGTGTCGGCGCCGCATGACTCCCTCATGGACGCCGGACACGCACGATGACAGCGTTAATGGCTGCGTCTTGGATCATTCTGTTTCACTCGCGTATAGCTTCCCTTAATCGCGTGAAGACACAGCGCGTGACGGCGGTCGCTGCTCTATATGCACTGCCGTTCTCTACAGGACAAGGCGGAATCTCGTATACATATTATCAGGAGTAGATAATAGGGTAATATCCCTATTATCTACTCCTGATATTATGTATTGTGCTATGTATTATGCTATGTATTAAAGCTATGTATGTATTAGTTATTATGTGTTTGTATTATGTGTATGTATTATGTGTAAGCTAGCTATGTATTAATGCTATGTATGTAATGTATGTTTATTTCGATTTATATGTTATTTTATGTTCGATTTATTCGATTTATATGTTATTTATTATGTTTATTTCGATATATATATACATATATATATATATATATATATATATATATATATATATATATATTGTTTGTGGAGACCCCAAAGAGAGGGAGGACAGAGAGAGAGAGAGAGAGAGAGAGAGAGAGAGAGAGGAGAGAGAGAGAGAGAGAGAGAGCGGCGGCGAGAGCGGAGAGAGAGAGAGAGAGTCGCGCGAGAGCGCGGAGAGCAGAGAGAGAGAGAGAAGAGAGAGAGAGAGAGAAAGATGGGAGCGAGGGGAGACCGAGAGAGAGAGAGAGCGAGCGAGCGACAGAGTGTGACCCGAGAGAGAGAGAGAGAGAGAGAGAGAGAGAGAGAGAAAGAAAGAAGAGCGCGCGCGCGTGTGCGTGTACGTGTGTGTGAGAGAGACGAATGAATGTATATCATTATTTCTTTATAAGTTGGCTTGGTTAGTTTGCATGGCTAGTTCGTATTAATAAGGACCATCCGACTTTAGCGGAACTAACAAACATGAATTGAATGGAGAGAGGATTAGATAATTGTACATTTTTCTCATCGCGCCACGTTGACTTCTGTTTGCAGTCGCCACTCGCAGGCGATCACATACAAACGCGAACAACGCTGTTCTCCGACAAAGCTTATTGCTTTTTATGAGTTTTATCGGTGTTTTACGACGTTTATCACAGTCAGGAGGCGCTAACCTTGCTATTAAATTATACGACACTTCTCATTATTTAATTATACTACATATATTGCTGCTAAGTACTATACTTCGAGGTGTAACACAACGCATAAACGCGCAAGGAAATAATAACGTTAGGTCGCGATCCAATTTGTGTCCTGCAGACGTGGCCAATGCTTGGACCCTACTGCACTGCTCCAACGCTGCCAGTATTTCGCCCTGATCGAGTTTACCGCTGACTAATAGGATATTATTTAATCCCATGTATTCACGCTGTTTGTGAGAATGATGATGTGTCGCGTATATATAGGCAGATATATTTACACCCACGTTGCGTGAATAGATAGGCCTATTTGTGCATGCACAGCGAGCGCCGACACAGGCACAGTGGTTACAGTTCCGGTAAAGGAAAATTATAGTGTGAATACACCATTGTAGAAATTCGAAGTGATTACTAGCTTACATAGCAGCTATGGTAATGTGGCGCAAGAAAAATGTAGATTGAATAGGATTGTCATTTGTCCAACGATGTTGGATCATTGCGGTTAAAGAGCTGACGTTTTCTAGTGAGTTAATCATGGTATGAATTTTAATTTTTTGTTTAATTCCTACTTAATAATTATTTCAACTTTTTGTCTTTATTTATTTTTAATTATTAAAGCAACCCGGATTTCAACCCCGTTTTTCCGCTAGATGGTACCACTACGTCTATATAGACGGAGTACTCAGTAATAGCCAAGTTGTTAGCTATAACGTGATTACAATTAACTAACTATTTAACACATGTTTGTGAATATGTGTCTGTTTGTCTGTTCTCAATGCAAATCAATACGGAGCACTCTAGAAATGTCAAAGATGTTCAGTAGAGGTAAATTTTGGTGCTGAATGTCATGGGCACATTGGATTTGACCGCCGAGGTCATCTAAGCTAAAAAAAAAAAACACGGGAAAACGGACAAATATACTGGCCCCTGCAGCAGCATTAAGTAAACGCGCCCCTGCAGCAGCATTAAATAAACGGGATTCACTTTGCACAGACGTGCATTACTGTACAAAGCGCGTTACATAGTGGGCCAATAATAATATCACCAGGCCAATATTAGACCAATATAGGCAGATTTAGGGCGCAATTAAAGCGGTTTGCGACAGGGTCAGGGTTTCAAGGTCCCCGAGGCACCCCCCCCCTACCCAGTTCCGAGGCGAGTGCCCCCCTCTGGGGGGGGGGGACGTCAGTGAACATACCACACGGCCGTGATGCTCACGTAACACACACTTCTTGGAGAAGCGACTAAAATTAATTGAACTACATATAAATATACAGTGTCTCATTAGTATGGTATTTCTATGGTGTGTATGTGTGTATGCATATACGTATATCATTGCTCAGTGTATTATACAGCTCATGTACATGTACATATATAATATTATTATGATATATATAACATAATATGATATAATATTATCTCTATTATTCACTCCTGATATTAATATGAACATTTAATACTATACCAAACAAATAACATTGATATATTTACAACACATTGTCGTATTTTCTGACAAAAACACTCCTCATAAAAATGACTATTATATATATATTACTATTATACATATGTAACCATATCAAATCATGAACAATATTTTATCAAATAGATAACATATTAGACCATTTTGAACTTATTAAGTTAACTAATTCTACTGATATATACATAGATATTTACAACACATTGTAATAATTTCGGATTAAAAATAATCCAGATTAACAAAATTATTATATAATACTATACATATAACCAAGAGCGTATTAAGAAAGCATTCTCACACACACACACGCTTGTGCTCCCACACACCACAACCCTAGATACATAGGGCTACGTAGCTATTAGTAGGCCTACTAAGATTGGCAGAAATTAATGCAATAAACACTACCTGCTACACGTTTAATGTCTGCGCGCGTTTGGGTCGGTCCACGTGTGTTATGCATATGTATGCATGCGTACGTGCGTGCGTGTGTTTATGAATTTGTGCGTTTGCATTTGCGTACCCTACGTTTGCGAACGCCTGCGCCATCTCACAAACGCTCCGCTCTGCGCATACAATATTAGTAGTATATATACAGTCAATGGCCGCGTGTGTGCTGTAGCTGCAGGTGCGGACTGGTTCTTGCCACTGATCTCTATAATATAATAGTACAGTCGGTTAGGTCAGAATATCATCTAAATCGTTCAAATTGTGAAAA